GAATTTGATTAAAAATGTAAAGAGCATTTTATCCTGCAGTTCAATAATGTGATCAGGTGTGTGATTTACCAAGCATCCATGTCTGACAAAAACAGTTCAATGTTCTTAAAATTACCATGGGCCTCACCTAGGACACCCCACCCCACCCCCTACCCCCATCCCTCATGGACGTTTAACCATTATTGTGATATATGCAATTAAAAATTTCTTTAAAATAAATTTACAATGCTAGACATGGTAGCAGGAATTTAGGCAAACCTTAAAGGCATACATCGTAAGTGTCTTCCTATCGGCCCAACAGTCTAGCCTCCTGGGAACGAGGTCCCTCTGCTTCGGTTGGAGAACGGGAATTAATAAAAAGAATTATGGCGGCCGTGACTTGGCGTGCTAGGAAACGATGTTTTGAAGTTCTTCAACAACGCAGCCTTCGCTTAATCCAAACGAACGCCTCATTAAAATGCTCAGGAGATTTAAAATGCTCTCATTTGCGAAAGAGAGGACTGTTGAAAGTGAGGGGAAGAGATTCCGTAAAGTTTCTGCAGGGACTCATCACAAACAATGTGGAGTCTTTCCACAAGAATGTAGAACGAAAAGCGATGTACGGTGTATTTTTGAACGCCAATGGTCGCACATTATACGACACTGTTCTCTATAAACACGATAGAAGTGGCGACGTACCTGCATTCTTTCTTGAGTGTGATGTTAGTGTGATTCCAGACCTTACAAAACATTTGAAGATGTTCAAACTACGCTCGAAAGTCGACATCATTCATGCAGAAGATTACGCGCCGTGGGTGATATTTTCAATGTCAGGGACTATTGACTTCAAAGATGTGTCGAGTAACTCGGATATTAAAGTGCTGGTGAAGGATCCTAGAGTTGAGCAGCTAGGATTTCGTGCGGTGTTGCCTAAGGGCTTAAGTCCATGTGTTTGTCTTGAAGATGTCTACGAGACAGGAGATAGCTTTGAATATGACGTACTGAGAGCTAAACTGGGAATTTGCGAGGGAGTGGATGAAATACCACCGGGAAATGCAATGCCCTTGGAATACAACATTGCATATCTTAACGGAGGTATAACTTTCAACTTAGGAACAGGTCATCATTCATTGTCTGGCAGGTGGAGGATCACATAGTTTTCTTGGGGGATCAGAAGGGGGGAGGGAAGGATCAGTCACCGCCAAAAGAGTTTAGGGGGGAGGGGACTTTAAAAAAATCAACTGCCAAAAGAGGGGGGGGGATCATAATAATATTATGGAGTCTTCTTAGGGGGATCAGGTAAACTTAATCATGACTCAACCAAAATCTTCCAACCCTAACCATAACCCCCCCCCCCAACCACACTCACACACAACAAATAATATTAATTTTATTACTTTGTTCTTTTCCTAGTTTCTTTCAACAAAGGCTGTTATCTTGGACAAGAACTTACAGCTAGGACTCATCACACTGGAGTCATTAGGAAGCGAACGGTTCCATTTAAATTTATTGACCCCAAAGCAGATGCAAGCCACTTTGAGTCAGGAGCAAGAGTTAGGACATCTGATGGGAAAGCAGCTGGCAAGGTTTGCATGATATATGGACAGTATGGGGTGGGGCTGTTGAGACTGGAACTGATAAAGAAGGAAGAGGCACTTCTTATAAAGAATAAAGAGGACAAGGATATGGAAGTTATTGCATCATTGCCACATTGGTGGCCTGAAGATGGTCATAGCTTTGTGTGAAATGCTCTGAGGGACAAAGATGCTGGTAGGAATTTTAATCAGATCCATTTAGCCAAGAATGATGAGCTGTTACAGAACTTAATTGACTTGCTGTACTTTATCAGAATCTTGTGTCACTAGTGATTAACTTTTGTCTGAGTATTTTTGTCATTGCTTTTATGAAAGTCTTTAAGAGGTAGGAACTCTTGAATCATGTAGAAAGTGCTTTTGCACATCAGTGATTCTTTCATGAGCACACCTTTGATTTAGCCACTTTAACCGCAGAACTCAAGGACATTGGGAAAGGAGTCAGATCTACAATTTTACAAATTTCTCTTTATGTGACAGAGTACCACAAGAATAAAAAAACTGTTCATTTTAAAGGTGGACAACATTTTCAAACCTGTTGTGATAATCTTGTATGCGTATCACGTGACACTTAATTAATTAAGCTAGGGATTTGATGACAGTTGGGTTACTTAAGATTTAAGTGTATAATTGAACGTAGCACGGTAATGGCAGACTTGTAGTAAGAATGTTCCTGATATAGAAAATCAATAATAGTCTGAAACAATTAGATAAGGAATTGCCCAGGAAATTGTGCATGCACATCTGGGTTGGAACATCCTGTAACATTGTGTGATGCGTCATTCATGCAGAAAATAATGTATGCATGCGGGTGTAAGCTGTTGAAATCAAGTTGACAGGAAATAGCTTGGGATTTAGTAAATTCTTGAATAAGTAATATCAATCTTGGATTTACATAGTTTAGGCATGTGTTTTCATTGTAATAGGAGATAAATAGAATTGTCATCTCGTAACAGAAGAGACTTGAGATCATTTGAATGTACAAAGTTCGGATATTGTATGGATTGTAAATAACTCAAGAAATTGGAAAGATAAGTCCTATTGATTGTTGAACCAGCGCTCTGCAGAGATTTTCCTTAACGCAATGGAGAATTCTGCAACAAAACTGGAGCTGCTGTGCTTGTCAGATAAGTACCTTTGAAACTCCTCCTCAGTTCCTGTATTCATCAGTTGCATTTTTATCAGGAGGTGTATAGGGCTGCATCACCCCAATATTTCATATTGTGTATTGGGAAACAAACTGAAAATAATGCAAGTATAACCTGTTCTTTCCCAAGATCTAATCAGTAATTCTCCTTACTGTCTGCTATACAACTCTCTTGATGTTAATTTAGAGAATTTGGTATTGGATCAACCAATATTTCCCTTGTTGATATTTTTCTTTATTCTCATCACTTGTCTGCTTGATACTGTATTGATGCTGTAAGGAGAAATTCGATCTTGGTCACTTATGGGAGTTAGAGGGATTCTTAAAAATCATTTTCAGGGTGTGAAATTGCTCCTAATACAGGCGCCAATGCGACTACATTTTTCACTTTGGCGACCAAATTCTGAAAATGAGTCACCAAATTGGCAACTGGAATGTTTCATCATAACCTTACCAAGAGATATAGCGAATTAAAAATATTTGCAAAGGCAAATTCACAGCAAACTTCCTTGTTATGTTTGTTTCCAAAATGCAGCAGATGCATCTTGATCAATGACTAGATGCCATCATGGATTTCGGTGAGCTTGAAAGTTGTATATCATCCATCCTAGTGTCCACTTGCTGACAGCGTAAAAAAAGTTTTGTTTGTCTAATTATTGACTATACTTTGTACTTAGATAATTATTGATGATTCCTTTGAACTCTTATCTGACAGTTTGATTTACCTATTTAGGCACTAGAAGGGGAGGATGTTGGAATCGAATGTCGGTAAGAATCACTTTACTCTCTATTTCTATGGTTGCTGGAAATATAAAGTACACCATGGAAGTAAAAAGCTTCAGTTAGATCAATCATTCTTAAAAATCAAAGAACACTGTGGAATTATTTGAAATTTATCATCAAACTAAGTACTGGTAACAAAGTAAGCAAAGTGCACTGTGTTAAACTAACCATTGGTTAGGTTTCAAAGAATTTGGGGCATGCCAAGCACTTTTTATAAGCATTTAACAGATCTTTCACATTTTTTACAATACAAATATTTGTTTCACTTCAATCCCTTGTTAGAAATATTTCTTAACTCAATATAGCTCAACCACTGAAGAGTACTCTTAAACAATCACACACAACAAATTTGAAGTCATGCCATTTTAACAGCTAATTTGTTGTTAATGACAATGAGTTTTAATGCTCTAAGAACCTGAAAAATAATAAAATGCACATTAGCTAATGGAAAGAAGTTCAAGTTTGCACAACTTGAACAAGCTGATTATGCTTCAAGCTGAAAGCAGTCTATTTTGCTTACACAGTAATCTAGTGTATAATCTCTCTGCCAGTAAGCTAAATTCTGGAGCATTACAATATTACTTAATAAGTGTCATTCCAATTTCAAGGATTAAATTAAACAGAAATGCACTGACACATAACTATAGGTTGCTCTCAACATGTGCAGAAAATGAAATTAAAAAGTAGCTATGGCCAACTCGTTTTTGCGTTCAGCATAAAGTACTTAACCACAGATGAAACATGGTTGTGAACTTGTAATTATTGGTCTTGATGCAGGTATGCAAGGTTATTCTGATTTCAAGAGCCAACTCAGCAGAAAAATGAATTGATATGAAATTTACAAAAACTGCTCAAAATAGTATCCTGCATTTATTGAATTTCCTTTTGCAAAATTTGTCAGATTTAGATGCTGCAATTCAAATATTTCTTTGCCCACACAAGCCAAATTCCTCAATTTCCCATTTCCTACTTCACATTTCACCTCACTGATGATCACTTAATATTTGCTATGTAACACAATGATCTTTGTTTACAGGGTTTTCTCCAGTTTGCATCTGATAACAAATCTGAAAGTTTTCTGCCTCAGAATGAAAATTCCTCCGATCACATTTCATGCAACTGCTAGTTTTTTGACAGATTGAAGCTAAAGATACGCAGCAACAAATTCCACAAGTTTTCTTTTGTCAGAAAAGCCCTGGATTATTTTCATCTGTGTAATGAATGCCCATGCATATTATCAAATACCACCATTAGACTCTGACTATTCATGGTATGTATCACCTCTGTGTTAGAATAATTACGACCGTGTGCATTAAGGTTGATCAACTATTGCATTAAAACAGTTAATGGTTTCTGCTTGTTATAATGTGAATGTCTGTCTACTAAACCGTTCATTTCAATCTGCTTCAGATCAGTTGAGGCGATTCACAGTATTAGATCTGTGTCTGAACTTGATAAATTCTTCACTTGGAAGGTGATATTTAAAGCAACGATGCTTGGTACAAACTGTAACAAAGTCTCTCTCAGAGATTCCAACCCCATGTGATGGAAAATAGGGAGTAACTATTAGTGCCAAAGGCGCGAGCTTCTAGGGGGGTCAGGGGGCATGCCCCCGGGAAATTTTGCAAATTTAGGTTCTCTCAAGTGCCATTTCCTGAATTTTGACATCATTCCGGCCTGAGTTATAACATACCATAATGCTCTTCGCAAAGAAAGTAAGTATAATATGAGTGTTTCACAGTGACAGATCGCCAAAAATTATAAAGATTAGCAATTTTCCCTAGTTTTCAGAATTTTATGATAAATCGGGAGAATTTGGTAAAAATCGGGAGAGCGGGAGGCAAGACATCAAATCGGGAGACTCCCGATCAAATCGGGAGGTTGGAATCTCTGCTCTCTATTGTCTATGTACAGTTACAACTCCACTATGGTTTTGTGCTTGGGCTTGTTCAGGACAACTAAGTACCACAAAGTCTACATTTTTGTGAGTAAGGGAGGGACTTATTTGCATATCTGATTCTTCATAAAGACTTGTTTGCAGGTGTTTAAAAAAAAAAACTGTGCAGGATTGATGAAGGGTAGATGCTCAAGATGAGTTCTAAGTAAATCACTACAATTACCTTCAACTTAGCTTCTCCAGTTGCTCCAGTAACCTTAAGTCCCATTTTTGTCATGTCCTTGGGAGTTAGACTTGAGCTATTATTAACAAAAATACAGTTACCCTACGTGTATATCATAACATTTGTCTAAATTAATAAATCTCTGACTCTGCTGTTAATCAAAACTATAATAAAATTCTCAAGTGTGATTGGTGATCACCATCCTGACTTTAGCACTAATGAGACAGTGTATGCATCATGCATGTCATTGGACAATGTAATAGGACAGTTGACCCTTAAACTCCCATCTGTGACCAAGCCAGAATTTCTCCTTACAATATCAATACAATATCAAGCAGACAAGTGATGAGGATGAAGAAAAATACTATTTGGGGGAGTATTAGTTGATCCAATACCAAATTCTTGAAACCAACACATCGCAGACAGTAATGAGAATTACTAGTGAGTTGAAGGGTGAAAGGGACAGTGTTAACACATCATGCCTGCACGGGTGGACAGAAAAAGTCATGTGCACATGCTGTTGTATTGCACTTTGCCGAGTTAACTGTTGCTTTTTACTTATGAAAAGGTATAACCAATGGCTAGTTTCTTTCTCAAATTTTGTCATAGTTTTGATTAATTGGTAACAGAACTAAGTTATCCAATTCTGTCTGTAGTCATACTTGTGATTAACAAGTCTGACTCCTTCTTTTACTGTCGTCTAATTTTTTTAATCACCTGTATGATTACAGACCAAATTAGACTCCACTTGGTCTTAATACCATTAACTATTGCCTAGGGGTGTGATTGACACTAATATTATCACTGTTAGGAATTATCCACATACCTGTGTTTGTTTTTCTTAAAATGATGAAACAGAACCTCATAAACCTAGCAAAATTATCAAGTTAGTTGGCATCCACTTGAAACCAGGACAAAGTGTGGACCACTTTTCTGTAACAATTATTAACCACACTCATAGTATGGTACAAAGAACTCATTTTCAAGCCAGGCCATATATTAGGACCACATGAGACAAGTCCCTTGCATGCTATGAACATCTGAAGTGTTGAGAGCGTTCTTTGAGAGTGAGAAAGATAGTAAATTTTGATTTGTTGTCAAGTATAGGTAGTTCTAAGAGATTTTCATCAGCTTGGGATATAGAAAAACTCAGATTCCCCTGTTAGGATTTTCACCTTTTGTGGGGACTTTATGTGGAGGTGTGATCAATAAGTGATTGTTATGGGCATGACACACATAAAAATGATAGAATATTACTAACAGCACAAATTATCACTTCAAAATTATAATTTTGCATGGTCTCTTTTCATTATACCTTGTTGACATCCTGAAGTTTTGCCCGCCCTCTCACAAGCTCTGAGACTGTTAAAAATTCTCTCTCATCAACAGGAATGAACTCATGTTTCCCTCTAATAACAGGTTTTGTATCAGACTCTACAATAAAATAGTTAACCTTTTGTAAATTTTCAAAACAGTTTCTGTTAAAAGCTAGCCAAGTAAAATTGTAATCTCACTCAACAAAATTTAAGGACAAAATGGCATCTTGCATCAATTTCAAATTTCAAGGAAAGGTTTCTTCAGAAGCTGAGTGTTTCTGATGCTGTGGAAATAATTACCATGAGTCTGTAAAGTCCTAAGTTTTACAATTAATCATGAGACCAACTATAATTCCAAGAGATTGCCCATAGCTTAGAACAGAATCTTGCTACTATAGCATTGCTTTGGGCTTTAAAGTAATGTTACTGTATAACAAATAAGTAATCAAAACAACCTTTAAAATTGCTGAAAATAATGATTACAAATTTCATAATGGTCATCTGAAGAAGGAAGTAAAAAAAATTCACATATTTCAGTTTTTGTTAATAACTTTCTAAGAAAA